GCGACCCACGTGGGCACCGTCGCCGCCGCTGCAACGCGACTGCGGGAGCGGCGAAACCGTGCCGTGCAGCGCCATAACCAGAGATGAATGAAAGCGGCTTTATTTTACCATTGTGGAATCACGGCCATTGATGAATAATGAAATAAAATTGGTTCACAGGACTGGTCAGTGTGGGTAAAGAGACAATTAGGTGTGCCGACATTTCGAAATATTTAATTTCTTCATCAGGGCTAGAGTATAAAAACTAAAGGACAGAGCATGATGACAACAAACATTTCAATAAATTGATTAACACTACACAAACAACAAAAGACGTTTATAAACTATGGCAAATAAAGCATCAAAATATAGAAGATACACACCTTTGTACCATCAAGGTGTATCTTGTATATTTTGGTGTTGTCTTCATTCTCCTTTCTTTGTTTTTATACTCTAGCCCTCATGAAGAACTTAAATATTTCGATACGTTGGCACAACTAATTGTTCCTTTACTCACACTAACGAATCCCGTGAACCAATTTTATTTTATGGCTTTATTTTACTTACAAAATCGCGAATTTCTTTTGTTTTCTAATTCCTTTTGTCTTTGTAGTCTTTTCATTTACAATCAACACTTGTGGCCTGAAGGGATGCCTCGACTTCTTTTCATTTCACATGCATTACAGAAAAATTTGCCCAATGCGGAATCTCAGGGGAATCTCTCTCTCTGTGTTTTCCGTGTTAGACACGATTAATGTTCACATAAGGCATCACAACAGGCATAACACAATGTAAAAGGTATGTTTTTCAGGAGCGCGATTTTGTATGTTTACATTAAACAGATTTCTGCATTATACACGTTCTGCATTGAGCATTTTTTTCTATATTTTGGGGGATATACGCTTCATTTATTTTCATCAAACACAGTAAAATCTGTATGTCAGCTGGTTCGAATTCAGCCGTTTCTGGAGAATTCTAGCGGCTGCTCTCATTGGTAGTTTTCCGTGTTTTTTCCCAATCAACACCCGGGAAATACCGGAACAGCACCCTAACTAACGGGCTACGGACCGCGCGCGATTTATTTTTTCTTCCTCTTCCTCGTTGTATCGTCACCCCACACATAACGCTGCTGTGTGTACTACCTTCATCGAGCACTCTATTTCTCGCCCGAGGGATGACGTCATCCCGACATTTCCTCCTCTTTCATCTTATTTCGCGCAGGGTAACGCGTTTGGTGAAGGGTCTCACCCCTTTCCCTCC